CTTGATGCCAAATCTAATTTCTTTTCACATGTTTCATTTTCCTCTCTTTTTGCACACTTCACGTTTCTCATTCACTCTCAGACAAGCAACCATTACCAGAGAGAAGGAAATCGGAAAATGCCATTCAATTTTCATTTAAGAAAACAAAGAAACGAAACAGAATATATGTTTATAATATATGTATACAACATAATGTACATTATTATATACAGATATGATAGCATCTCAATATTCCAAACATAGTTTATCGCTCGCCATTATTTGGTCTAATAAGTCCGAATTGTCCGATTAACATTGTTTAGGCCAATATATATCTCGATTGCGAGTTTTCCGTGACATTTTTTTCAGCTCATAATGAGGCAACTATTTCGTTATTAATTTGTCATTATTTGAAAGAATAAAATACAAACATCAAATATTGTAGTAACGAAATGTTTGTATTAATGAAAATAACCAAGATATACTAACACTCATGTGTTTTAATGAGATACACAAGTTGAACCAAAAAAAAAAAGAATTAATATTTTGTATTATTCATAAAGAGGTGAGCATAAAGGAATCTTGCAAATAATGAATGATGAATAATGAAATAGCTTCCTCCGCATTATGAGTTCAAAAAATGTCACGGAAAACTTTGTCGTCATAATCGTTATCATCACAATCCCTTTTATCAACCCCCCCCCCCCCCCGTATTCGTCACAATCATCACCACCACCACCACCATGCATCGCCGCTACTTCAAGCACCACAAAGATCTCCAACACTACTACCATCAATACAATCCTCCTTCCTATCATCATCATCATCATCCTTATCATCACAAATCACATCTACTACCGATTCGATGCATCAATTTCGACGTGGCATGTAGCAACAAAAGTAACTGTATTCACGTTGTTATGTAATTAAGTACCTTGACACGCATTATCGTAAATATCATTTGCGGAGAAGGAGAAGTAGGCAAGAGGAATTAAAAACTTTTAGAGATATTCGCGAATGGAACGAGAAGGAAAGTTTGTTATCCCCAATAGCTTTAGCGTGAGAAATTGAGAAGATGTTATGAAAACAAACATATCAATCTTATGTAGTTAATATGTAGCCATGAGACTATACAGGTCTATATTTGTTGTAACCGAAAATATGACGGAGGAGATTGTAATCTATGCTGAATCATATTTGAACTACATTATGATAACATTATTTTGTTAGAATCATAAGAAATCTAAGAGAACTAAATGCTATACCTGTATAAACACGTTTTATTTGCGTACCCCAACTATACATGAACGTGTTATAGTGCGTTAAGCCCAATATAATAATGTGTGCTGATTGTAATGTACAAAACGTCCCGTCAGGTGTTACATTTCACATATTCTTTCTAAAGTTCATTGATCCTGTTCCATATGGTTGATATTAAAGGGAGATTAACTGCTTCAATTCTGTAAAGATTTGTCTTTAAATCTATAGAATCATAAACATGATAGAAAAAAAGAGTAAAGGATGAAAATTTTAAATCAATAAAAGTAATGTTTCCGTGATGATATTAAATGGTGATGAGGCAGAAGAACAAAAAAAGAAAAGGGGATATTAAAAAAAAGTAGGCCACACAAAAAAGTTGTAATTTTGTGGCATATCAATTTAACAGGCTGTTTCTATAACTTATAAATATCATATAAGTTGGCCTTTGATTTTGGGTGTTGCAATAATAATTGATTTATGTAACATTTACACAAATATTAACGACCCAAGAGTAGAATTGTGCTAATAGATACCCGCATTTTATGATTCAATATTTAGCCTCAGAGACGGTGACATTATAGTAATGAGTATTATCTTTAGCAAGAACAAAGTTCGAAGAAGAACAAATTGTTTCGTGTATAGAATAAAGAAATAAAACGTGTTTACAGTCATTATTTTAAAAGGCACAGCCACAATAAAAGTTTATATAGGCTTTTAGATAACATCTTAAACCAATCCTATATTAATGTTTTGTGGATGTATTGATTAAATTGAGAGTGTTTTATGACTCCAGTTTTTTTGTTGGGGCGGGGGAGGGGGGGGGGGTGGGGTTGGAGCTTCCAAATTATAATCCTGTCCAATCGATGTACCTATACGAACAAGACATTTAAAATAATTCAAAATGAACCAGAATCGCCTGGCATTGTCGGCAAAATAGTGATGCAGAAAGGCTTTCTTGCTCTCATTTTCTGTTTAAAAGTAGGCCAAAGTGTTCAGTATAGAGAGAGAGTGTGTGTGAAGGAGAGAGAGAGAGAGAGAGAGAGATAGACAGAGAGCCAGAGAGAGCATAATTATACAGAAAAACGCTTACTCGCAACGTTATCTGGATAAGGGTGATAAAGGGCGCGTTCATGCTTGATTTTGAAGGCAGAATGAGCGATTTGTAACGCTCATCGTAAACGCTCATCGTAATCTCAGTTCCACGGTGCACTGTTCATGCTCACTTCTCCAGGCAATTCTCCTTGGGTGGCCTTCAGCTGGATTCGCAAACCTGACTGTGCGCATGCTACGTAGACCCACTAGAGGTCAGTGCGTTGACCCCCATTTAAACGCGTTTACAAATTGTAAACGCATCTTTTTGTGAGTTTACGATCGGCGATCGTGATCGCCGTTTTTCGGTGATTCTACAAAAGTGAGCATGAACGCAATCGTATTTTAACCTAAACGCGTAACAGATGCCTGATTCTGGCCGTCAAAATCAAGCATGAACGCGCCCATAGTCTACCCGTTACGCTCCTTTATGAGCATGATTTATGATTTAAGCAACAATTCTCCCCCTCCCCACTACACCCTCTATCTCTATCCGGGAGAGAAATCAGAGAATTATGTTAATATTTGAATTTCATACTTTACCTTTACCCTAGATTCTGGAAGAATGCTGTGTTTTCAGTAATCAGACTCCCGGTTTGTCCCACGAGATCATCATGAACCGGGTGAAATGTTATTCTGCACGTAGGCCTCTTCGTAGTGGTAGTATCCCAGTCATTGTACAATTTTCTCTCGTAGGTAACCCCCCTTTTTTTTAGACCCGTTAGAACTAGCTATAGTAAAATTAATCTGCTTAACTTGTAAACTTTATACCTTTTTAATTCCAAAGAGAAAAATTGCTATGGTTACTCAAAATAGATTTGCCCATTTTCATCGACCAAATTAATTCTGATTGATAAATATTTCAATTGCTATGTTCATACTTCTCTATTTTTCTCTTTTACAGTATTTCATGCCTTTGATAATTTCCCCCTATTACGTAATTTCGTTATTTGGGGTCGGTATGTTGGTGCCTTTTTTATGCCTCCGCCACCGAAGGTGGTGCCGGAGGCATCATGTTTTCGGGTTGTTCGTCCGTACGTCCGTCCGTACGTCCGTCCCGTTTGACCGTTATCACAATATCTCAAGAACCATTTAAGATTTAAACTTAAGACTCGGGAATAGTATTTATCACCATAGGAATACGATCTGATTAGATTTTGGAGTACGTAGGTCAAAGGTCACAGGTCACAGAGGTCAACTTATGAAATTCCTTGTATTGAGTTTGTTAGCGCGATATCTCAAGAACCATTTGAGATTTAAACTTCAAACTATAAGTATAGTATGTATCACCATAGGAAGACGATCTGATTAGATTTTGGAGCACGTATGTTAAAGGTCAAGGGTCACAGAGGTCAACTTATGAAATTCCATACATTGAGATTGTTATCATGATATCTCAAGAACCACTGGAGATTTAAACTTCAAACTTAGTGATAGTGTGTATCACTATAGGAAAACAATCTGATTAGATTTTGGAGCACGTAGGTCAAAGGTCAAGGGTCACAGAGGTCAACTTATGAAATTCCATACATTGAGATTGTTATCATGATATCTCAAGAACCACTGGAGATTTAAACTCCAAACTTGTTTAAATTGCTCTATGGCGGAGGCATCATTTTCGACTGCGCGCAGTCAAAATTCCATCTAGTTATATGTTCTTTTCCCTTCCATTAACGTCGAAATTCTGTTACACTTCATATTGTATTACCTTCTGTATTAAAAAACAACTAATGATTAACATATGAAAACACTGTCCAATAAATGAATAAACGTAACTATTTTCAGGTTCACGTTATAAACAAACAACAACAAAAATCGCTATTCAATATTTTCTATCTTGTCAACCTTCCTGTTTAATGTATATCATATACATGTATCATCCTTTTGTAGTAAACCTATTCTTTTGTCGTGCATACAATTTGTTACATTTGGTTTGTAATATTGTTAACATTCAAAATAATTAAGAGAATCAAGCATGAATAGATGATTAAATAAACAGACATCAGTTGAAATCAATTCAGTTTGTAGATAATAATACTATCAAAATATTATTATTATTATTATTATTTATTCGGCATTTCAGAAGACAAAAGTACATACAATAGGTAGAATCAATAACAAAACAATGAACTGGAGGGTGTTTCACAAAAATTGTCATCAGTGACAAATGAAAGTTTTTGTTATAAGCTACTGAAATCCTTGCTTCTGATTGGTTATCAGCAGATTTGTCACTGATTTTGTCATTTGTCATTGAAAAAAAGGCTTTGTGAAACACCCCCCTGATCGCGATACAAAAGAGGTGAAGAGATTTTGACAGGGCAGACGGGCCTTCTTGGGACAAGAAAAGGTGAACTGAATTACCATGACCCTCAGGTCTTCTGTCCCACACCCCGTCAACTCTATCCAAATCTGTACATAAAACCAGAAGAAATAGACAGCAAAACATAAGTTTATAACAAAAAAAAAGGTCTTTTTCCCACACCCCGTCCACTCTATCAAAATCTGTACATACAACCAGAAGAAATTGACAGCAAAACAAAAGTTAAAAAAAAACAACTCAGGTCTTCTTTCCCACTCCTTAAAGACCGTCAAAAATACTGAGCCAGAGGGGATTAGACCACACAGCGAGGTCACTGACAGGTGGCTATCTCATTAACTCAGCTCTCAACAAACATAAGAAAAAGAGGATCATGGGGGACGAACAGTCACCGATTGGGGAAGTTTATAATAGTGTGTCACATTGAAAGGGGTTAGGACGATATTATTGAAAATTGACATGATATGACTGGAATTTTTAATTGAGATACCAAAATAAATATGCATGTATGTTACTGTAAATTTATAATAGATTTAATTAGATATACCAGATTCGATACCTAAATGTGGGTATGGATTGATACCTAGTACGATATCTTAAAATCTTAAAGTTATGAGGAATATTTTTCAAAATATAAATATCACAAAACTTAATGAGTTAATATCTATTTCACCTACTAACATTTCAATTGCTTATATCTAGTTTTAATATTACAATTTCACCTACTTAAATATCGCCTTTAGCCAGTTCGAATAAATTTAACCAGAATACATAAATAATATTGAAGGAAAAAAAGAACATTATAACAGAAATCTCAAATTATCCGCTCAGTTTTTAGTACTCGTAGAAAATGCGAAAAGTTTCCTGAGATACTGCTTCTACACGGATGTCTGGGAGTCTCTCTCCGGTAACAGGGGATCTGTGGATATATAGAAATATAAAAGAAATTTATTTCCTTTCAATTCGATTGCAAAATTTAATGGTTTATCTTTTCATACTTTTGACGCAGATTTGCAACTTCCATGAGAAAAAATTGCCCAATTTTTGTATGAATCTGAGTTTCATTAATCTGCGTCTATTTTTTGGTTGAAACGAAGCGATCAGAAGATATATTATTGTCTGAAATAGGGTCATTAATTCATCTTCTCAAAAATTCCCACCCCATCTCTCTCTCTCTCTCTCTCTCTCTCTCTCTCTGTCTCTCGCTTTCTCTTACTCTTTAACTCCATCTTATCCACCCCAGCCTCTCTCTCTCTCTCTCTCTCTCTCTCTATCTCTCTTCATTTATCGATGCTATTGATTCCCCCTATCGTTTTCATATTTGAGGGGCCGTTAGTTCAGGCGCGTACCATTTATTGTCGAAAAGGGATTGATGTTAGTTGGGGGTCCCATATTTTGTTGTTGTTGTTGAAAATGTCTCACGACTGTCAAAACCCCTGTCAGCTCTTGCATTATAGCTCCCTTTTTTATAACGCATTTGTTCGTTATAAAATAAGATTTTTGTGGTTGTTGTTTTACTGTTGTCAGTCATTAAAATAAGTAATGATCAACATTACAAAGAAAAAAGAAAGAAAATCATTCAACTTGGAATGTGTCGAAGTATAAGCCTCGTGCACGAACCTTTCAGGAACACAATCGCAAAGACATTCGAAAAATTAATTTCAGTAGCCTTGTACATCACATATTGAAAGATGCAAACATGGCAAAGACGAATAACTTAATCTAAACATAATTTCAATGAGCATTGAAATTGCCCTTAAGTTGATATATTTTTTTCGAGAGTCTTTTTGAAAGTGTTTCTGATACTTTAAAGCATAAGGAGCTTTGTGCTCCTATTCTTTCTAGTCAATTTGTTCTGTCTGTCACTTCAAAATAATAAATAGGAACCCCTTTTGCGAAGTGCGTGTTAGATTAAAGAAATTAACGTGTTTTACAGACAGTCTTTATTTAAAAACGACGCATCCACAATTACAGTTTATATAGGCTACCACGAGATAATTATATGGACCGGATGAGATGCCATTCTGCACCTAAGCTTCCCGGTCATTGTACAATTTTCTCTCGTAGGTAACCCCTTTTTGGACCCGTTATAAGTAAACAAAAACTGCTTAACTTGTATCAGTTTAAGCCTTTCTAACTCCAAAGAGAAATTTCCCTCGACCAAATATATTCTGATTGACATATATTTCAATTGCTATGTTTTATTTTCATAAATCTCAGTTTCATTAAACTGCATATAGGTTTTGGTTGAAACTAAGCGATCAGAAGATACAATGGTCTGAAAGAGGATAATTTCATCTTCCAAAGCCCCCCCCCCTCTCTCTCTCTCTCTCTCTCTCTCTTTCTCCCTCTCTCTCTCTCTCTCTCTCTCTTTCTTTCTCTCTCTATCTCTCTCTCTCTCTCTCTCTCTCTAGATATATCTCTCTTTGTTTTCATATAAATCCATCGAAAAATTACAAATTGAATGATTTTTTTTTTCTTTTTGATAATTTGGGTGAAAGGAAATTTAGTCGATAACTTATTTTAATGATTGACGACTGTAAAAATACTACAATAAAACTTCTTTTTTTTAACAAGCATTAGTGTTATAAAAAGTCACATTTTCTCTGATTGATTAAGTTTAAAAACCATCAATGTCTCCACTAGAAGTGTGCGTCTGTGTGTGTGTGTGTGTGTGTGTGAGAGGGGCGGGGGTTGACGGTGCTCATATCTTCTCTTGTATGTGCGTTTATATTACTTATTTGAAGGGGAAAAAAAGAACTTTTATCTTTTATATAATTTTTTTCCCGGCCAATTTCGTCAAAGTAGCAATCAATTTCATTAACGTGCATTCATGTTCGAGCAAATTTTCTCCACTCGTTGCTCCCCTGTTTCATTTTGAAACTTGTTGCATTCAATTTCGTTTCGAGTCACCGAATTTTCTAAACATGCACATTCAAATTAAAACTTGGTTCAGTCAATTTGGCAATGCGTAAGGGTTGTTCAATTTCGCCAACGTTGAGTGGAAGGAGAATTGCTTAGCGAATTGCGGTTCCATTTTCGTCTATGGGCAACCTCTTTCGCAATCGGGTCATTCAAATTAAAACTAGACCTCATAAACTATATATGAGGCTCGATGTTTATTCGGATATGCATTATTTCATATTTATTTATTTATTCTTTCTCTCTATGATCTTTTCTGACATTATAAATTGTCTAATATATTTATATTGCATTTATGTTTTCTCTTTCTTTCGACATTCTTTGTTGAAACATCTCTCTATTTATATCTTCACATTTTTCATCATAAATGTCTTTGAGGTTATGTTTTAAATGGTTTGTTTTGATCAATCTTGATTGAGTAGGTGATCTTTCTTTCTTTTCATGTTACATCTTTTTCTTTATTCATCATTGTATTTTTGTTTCCATCATGTCCATGTCCATTAAAGCTGAACTCTACCGCTGTCCAGGATCTGTTTTTATATAGCTTGTGCTTAGAAGAGAAGTCACAAATTGTGCACCTTCTCCGGGGACAGTTACTGGCAATGACAGATATCTGCTAACGAATACGCATGTCATTCCTCCAAGTAAACTGTACATAAAATTATTTAAGCAGAAGTATATTAAGTGACAATTTAACATCAAATGAAAACCAATGCACACATGTCACATAATATGCCTAATCACGAAATTGAATGCACGAATACATACCATCGTCTGTCCGGCGCGAATTTGAATGCTCTTTGCACGCTTTTCTAAATTGAATGCTCATTTTGCACGTCTCCGTGACAAGAGTATGAAATCGCATGCTACTAAATCAAATTGAATGACGCAATTAGCTTTTGAATGTTGATCTACATAGTCATTCAATTTCGCACGAACTTGAATGAACGTAACGTTAATTCGGATGCTAAGTTTACGAAGTTGGGCGGGAAAACCTCTATTATGGTTGTTACCTACGTCGGTAAATTTAAAGAACTCTAAGGACCCTTTGCCTTTTTTGCTAGAGGAATCTTTTTGTTGCTGTTAGCATGTTGGCAAATTTGTCCGACACTTCAATTCAAAATATTCCAAAGACAAAATTCAAAATTAAATGACATCAACAGAAGTATGGTTTTGGCATCAGCAATATTTATTTTTTTTCAAAATTTGATTTATGCAATAACAAAAAATGTACATGTATGACACAATATCAAAACAATTTCAATTGATTTCAAATTGAATTTAAATTGATTTGTCCGGATTTATGTTTCTTGAGAATGTGGTATACTAAAGCTTGCATATAATTTTTTTCAACAAAGGCCCTAATTCGACCACTCCACATGTCATTCTTAAATTACGAAAAACACACAAAAGCATCAACATTTAGAAGGTGTATGAATGATTCAGTTGTTAGTTGTAAGTGTTTTGCCGGCGTAGCCAAGTGTTCAATGCACTCGACTATATACCTCTATCAGTAGTTCATGATATGACAAAGCCTTACCGCTCACGATGGCGGTCTCCTGCGTTCATTGATTGGATTATATATTATATTATATGTGTTATATTATATAATATTATATGTGAGAGTATTTATAGGTGTATATGTGTATGTGTATGTATGTATGCATGTGCTATGTACATGTATATATATATGTATATGTATGTATATGTGCGTATATATGGATATATATCTATAAAAAAAAATTTAAGCTCACTTCCTTATTTTGTATTCATTATGTATCATGACTATATTGTTTATCTTATGAATTGTTTTGTATATTATCTTTGTAAACACATTTTATATTATGTATTGTATTATTTTGAACGCAGAAATAAAAGCAAACAAAACAAACAAACAAACAAACAAACAAAGGGTGGGGAGGTATGTGTGATTCTTTAGAAGTAAGATTAAAATGATGTTGTTGTTTTTTCAACTTTGCTTTTTGTGTAATGTTTTTCTCTAATGATGTTCTTTCTCCAATGATGTTATTTACCAATGATGTTTTTCTCCACTTTTTTCAAAAATGATTTTTTTTTTTTTTCTTCTTTTTTTTTCTTTCTTTTTCTTTCTTTTTCTTTCTTTTTTTCTTTTTTCCTTCTTCTCCAATTATGTTTTTTCTTTTTGGTCAACGTTCGTTATTAAAAAAAAAATCATTTGAAGACATGAGACATACTTTGTAATTGTAACCAATTATATACGAGTCTTTTTATAACATGAGATTTATTCTAAAAGCAGAAACTTTCTCGCGCCTGAAAATGTCCCGGTTGATCAATCTTATCGGATGTTTCTGCCCTCAAATATTTAAATTAGATTGAATAATAATCATAGACGTATGGGCTCAATTCCCCCATTGGGGATGGCGACTCTTACCCTAATACTGCCTTTTAAATTTTCTAAATTTTGCGAGCGAAGCGAATGAGAAAAAATGTGTATACCTTTCATATTGACGATGCAATTGCAATCGCTACTCTCAACATGTTTGGAAACATCCGAGAATTTCATAGTACTGTAATGAGTGTCATTAATTATAGGCGAGTTTTATGTCGCGAAAGTTTCTGATTTTACATAGCTCTTCTTTAACTTTTGGCGTAAATATTCCTAAATTGAATGATATACATTAACAGCAACAATAACAACAACAATAACAATAACAACAACATGAAACTAAAACAATAACAACAATAACAACAATAACATCTACAACGAAGACGACACGAAGATCATAAGCAAGATGAACATGATTAGAAACAGATAGTCGATGTATCTCAATACACACACATTAAGTAGTAATCAGCTCGTTTAAGATACAGGCTGACTCTGCAAAGTTTATGAATGGAAATGGAAAATTTATATTACTTATTACTATTCAGAGGTACAGATGAACTACTAGCAATTTCGAGATGCACGTGAAGCAAGTTTCAAACATGTACCGTGGAACGACCAATGTCTGATAAAGTATCTAAGATTGAAACCAAACCTATGGTTAAAGATATGGACCGGTAGTGGTAAAATTGCGGTTCAAGGGTTTTCGGTGCAAAATACTCATTCAATATTGATTAGGTATTGCCTTTGGAGGTTTAGATGGCAATCCGTCAACCTAAATTCGCAACAAAGCAGAAATATATGCCCAACTCTTCAATGTGATAACTATCCAGGCCGGATCGATATGATAATTTACCAAATATATCAATTAGTAGGCGGTTTCCCGGCAAAATTTGTATCATCACGTATTATTCAAAACATATTCTTTCACATGATTGGTAATCAGAGCTTCCATTTCACTTTTTGATAAGGGGCGTTTCCAAAACTGATCTATAGCTTCAACAGGTTTCGAGTATTCAAAACGTCAACAACTAAAACAACTCACTTGGAACGTTGAGTCTCTATTGGTCTCAGTCCTTTTCAGGACTTCTCAATCAACACACAAGACTACAAACAGTCTTTTTAAGGACTTTCCACATGGTTCTACTCTCTAAGTTATTTTCTAGCCATGCAAACATGTACTTTCAAGCAACATTTGTAACCAAAATAGGTGTTAAAAATGAATTACTAGCGATGGTAAAGCTAGCACGTTACAACAAGACAGACAGAGCCTTCAACGACCATATATATATATATTCCCCCTAAACATTTAACCAACAACACTTTTCATTAGGCAACTAGATATTGGCGCTCTCAAAATTATTGGAATGGATTGGATAACCAACATGTAAATGCTCATTGAATTTCAGATCGAGTTAAAATATACCATAATAATGAATGTTAAAGCGGGTTAAAGAAATTAAAAATTAAAGTGGGTTATATGATACATGATAATGATGCATAGACAGATAGCCGGATATATATATTTATAAAAACCGCTGTGTAATAAAACAATCTTGTATTATATACCGTATTATGATTCAGCCAATGAATGTTATATGGGAGAAAGCTCACATTGAATCTCTGCAGCGTGGGTTTTGGGCATTCCATCTTTCTTTTCAAGCTCTATAAAAATGAAAGGAAACAACAAATAATTGGTTAGATATAGAGCTGGGTTTGTGTTGAACACTGTTCAGTATTAGTCAGTTAATATATTATGTCTGGATTGTTTCAGCATTTTCGACAGATAACCATTAATGTATATCAGACAGGATATGAAAAATTACTGAAGATACCACCTAACTGCCCGAGAATGTGGTAACTGTTTTCCGAACATTAATGTGTAGTTCCAAATTGTTAGGGGGCTGCATACCCCCTTGCCTCCCCCCTACACATGAGATCACATGTTAACGCAGCTCATTCGTAATTTTCGTCTGCTTTTTTTGCAAGAGGCGAGCTTTAAGATCTGGGACCCGTTTCACAAAGCGTTCTTGCAATGAAAAATGACAAAAATCATTGACAAATATGCTGATAACCAATCAGAAGCAAGTATTTCACCAGGTTATAACAAAAAACTGTCATTTGTCACTGATAACAAGTTTTGTGAAATGGGGCCCTGATATATCGGCAATTTGAAAGCCTTAGGACACACTATTTTGTTTGTTTGATATTTATTTACACTATGATACATTTATTGTGTATTTTGTTTCACTTTAACTTAAATTTGTGAAAAATGCGGTTACCTCCTGACAAATGACAAAAATCATCGAAAAATCTGCTGATAACCAATCAGATGCAAGTATTTCACCAGCTTATAACAAAAACTGTCATTTGTCACTGATAACAAGTTTTGTGAAATGGGGCCCTGATATATCGGCAATTTGAAAGCCTTAGGACACACTATTTTGTTTGTTTGATATTTATTTACACTACATTAATTGTTTGTTTTGTTTCACTTTAACTTAAATTTGTGAAAAATGTGGTTACCTCCTGGTCATGCAAAGCGTAATATAGCGACACCCTAATGTATTTTACTACTCTTAGAAAATGATGAGGAGAGGAAGGGTGAATAATAGTACCTATCTTTTCTTTGTAGTCTGTTGCATCTTCTTTCTCATCAACAGGAGGATGGTGGAGTTCGATTGCGAGGTAGTAGGCCCAGGATCCCACAGCGCCCCCAATGGCGGGTCCAAAGATGGGTATCAACCACCAATGAACACCATCGTGTGTACCATCGGCTCTGTTAAACGATATGAATCACATCACATCACTGGTCATTGTAATGATAATGTATTGAAAGTATCATAATCAGCGGGGTGATGATGATGGTAGTGGTGACTATGGTGATGATAATGATGCTGATTAATATGGTTATGAGGATGAGGATGATGGTAAGTGATGGTGGTGATGATGATGATGGAGGAGGTGGTGGTGATGGTGATGATGATGATGATGATGATGGTAATTAGGATGATTAGTGATGACTGATGATGATGCTGATTATGGTGATGATGATGATGATGATGATGATGATGATGATGGTAAATAGGATGATTAATGATGACTGATGATGATGCTGATTATGGTGGTGATGATGATGATGATGATGATAATGATGATGATGATAATGGTAAATAGGATGATTAATGATGACTGATGATGATGCTGATTATGGTGATGATGATGATGATGAGGATGATGGTAAGTGGTGGTGGTGATGATGATGATGATGATGATGGTAAATAGGATGATTAATGATGACTGATGATGATGCTGATTATGGTGATGATGATGATGAGGATGAGGATGATGGTAAGTGGTGGTGGTGATGATGATTGAGGTGGTGGTGATGGTGGTGATGATGATGATGATGATGGTGGTAAATAGGATGATTAATGATGAATGATGATGATGCTGATGATGCTGATTATGGTGGTGATGATGATGATGATGGTAAATAGGATGATTAATGATGACTGATGATGATGCTGATTATGGTGATGATGATGATGATGATGATAATGATGATGATGATGATAATGGTAAATAGGATGATTAATGATGACTGATGATGATGCTGATTATGGTGATGATGATGATGATGATGATGATGGTAAGTGGTGGTGGTGATAATGATTGAGGTGGTGGTGATAGTGATGATGATGATGATGATGATGATGATGGTAAATAGGATGATTAATGATAAATGATGATGATGCTGATGATGCTGATTATGGTGGTGATGATGATGATGATGGTAAATAGGATGATTAATGATGACTGATGGTGATGCTGATTATGGTGATGCTGATTATGGTGATGATGATGATGATGATGAGGATGATGATGAGGATGATTAATGCTGATTGATGATGATAAGATTATGATGACGATGATGATGATGATGACGATGATGATGATGATGATCATTTGTGATGATACTGATTATGATGATGAAGATATCAATAATGCTGAGGAAGATAATTATGGTAAGATGATATAGGCCCTAAATATTGTAATGAAGATCAGGATGTTGAAGATGACAGTCACTTTGGTTTTTATTATACATCTTTATCTCCAACTCCCATCTCGGCATATTAAAAAGTTATAAAATACGATTTTACAAGTAAACTAATCATAAGACTATTTATGGTAAACTTTTTCTATTTTGACAAAGATGAAAATGACTTACAGCACCCAGACCTCCGCGCCGTACCCCATGACACCCAGACAAAGACGTCCCGAAAGGTCTATCGAAGGATTCAGGGGTGCCCCTGCATTATGACCAAAGGTCATGACGAGGGCTAAAATAATCAAACCAAAGAAGAAAGGGGCCCAGTTGAGAGGGGGCGGGACGTTGCGATGGTCCAACACTGCGCCTATGATGGCTAAAAATAGCGCTGTGCTCAATACCTGCAAATAGAATAGAACAAAGCCAGTACTGACGGTGTCATGATTAACATCAAACTAGTCTGAGATATAACTGTGTAAGATTAGCATAATCGTTCTAATTAATAATACCTTCTTTTTTTGGTAACCGCATGACAGTGCAGATGATGCATTCTTGTATGCAATAGCGTGATACACATTATTAATTGAATACTAATGTACTTCGATTGTACCAGTCCGGTACCAGTGCGGGAGGGTGTTACGTTATCCAGATTGGAAGAGGGATGATACAGATACCCTACATAACACTTTAGGGGGAAATACGTATCCAATCCGGTTACATGTGATTTTATTTTATTTCGTTTAATGATTCAACGAAATGGCCCTTCGAGCCTCAAGTGATTAAGAAGGAGCAAGTGAAGAATAAAAAGTAATCTGAAGGAGTCGATCACGTTGTATGTGAAAGGAGATAAAACAAGAAATTTATTAAAAGAACATCAAAGATGAGTTTTATATAGTTACCTGTTCGAAAAACCCGGTCGTCACAGACAGATACAGTTGGGGGAATGTAGCAAATATCGCTGCCGTCCCATTCGGGCCAAACGCCTGACGCTCTCCACCGTCGAAATCATCGAAGGCATCTGTTGAACAATTAAGGAAGATGAAACATCAATAAAGGACATGCAGGGTCCTGCTAATTATTTCTTGATAATGAAATGAATATTAAAATAGTTTCTTAAACTGAAGTGTAAATAGAAAGCTGATATTCAATCGACACCTGAAATCACTTCGATTACACGAATAATGTTCTAGCATTTTGATTCTATTAAAAGGATTCGTTACAGAATCTATACAGACACTGATGATTGCTTTAAGGTATGTTATGAATGTTTCGAAGTTCTTTCCCAATTTTCCCAACTGTGCCGGAAGACTGAATACTTTAAAATCACTTTTTTCAATTTGACATTGTTTCAAACCAGACAACAGAGGTTTGTTTTGTCTTCAATGTAACCCGCTTCCAGAAATGTCTATCATCAGGGACGGATCCAGTGGGGAGGGTACAGGGGCACTTCCCCCCACCCCCGGCCCCCAAAAAAGTGTTGAAATCAGCCCTAAATTCGCCAAAAATGTACTGGCAAACAGGGACGTGCCCCCCCCCCCCCCCGGCCACAAAAAATAAAAAAAAATTAGTACGCAACCCCCCCCCCCCCCCCCCCCCCAACTGAGCGAATTTGCGGTCGGCGCGATTTTCAAATATTCGGGAGCAAAAAAAAAAAATTAAAATGTGCTCTTACCCCCCCCCCCCCCTGGATTTCAAGTATTGTAGTTCATTCATTAATAACATGTTAATGGAATAACTCGTCACTAGGTCCCCAGGAAAGAAACACTCATAAATTTGAATATGTTGGTAAACCTGTCAATAATTGCTAGACGTCGAAAACTTTGTCGACTATCGGTTTCTCAAAGATATTTTATACGCACCTTGGTAAACAGCATAGACAAGCACAGCTCCGACAAACCCGCCCGCTAGTTGGGCTAAGTAATAGACAGGAACCCTTTTCCATGGTAATTTTCCTAAAACAGCTACTCCTATCGATACGGCGAGGTTGATGTGACCCCCTAAATAAATAAACACAGATATAAAGACAGAAAGTGATAATATTAATAGTATTCCGCTTTTATATAGCACTTAACACATCGACGATGTCTCTAAGCGCTTTACATATATTATTGCCCCGGTCATTGGATTCAGGCTTGTCCACACGCAATTTATGCACGTTCTCCACTTCCTGGGGAGCATTCCAGCCATGCGCCATTTTACATACGCCATCACAATGCTGAGCACACTACATTCACGTTCATGTCCTATATAACGGGTACCCAGAGTGTCAAATGTAGATTAACGTCTCGATAAAGGACGTTAGTGCCGGGCTGAGCTATGAACTCCGTACCTTGTGATCTGCAGTCGGGTGACTTATCCACTAGACCACAACAAAGTATCAATGTAAACCTCCCAAAAAAGTTTGGAAACTCAAGTTTGATCGACTAGGTCTCTTTTTTGGGGGGGATAAATATTATCATCGATTTGTGTAGTATCATTAGTCAGTTTGTTTATTCCTCTTAAAAAGCCCCTTCTGCACTAGTTTGGTATGGAGGGATTAGACCTCCCTGCAAGGTCACTGGCAGGTGGTTATCTCATCAAATCAGCTTTTAATTAACATAACCAAAAGGGCATCATGGGGGATCAACAGGTACCGCTTAGGCATTGTTGGCTGTATAGAGGGCGCAAGTAGCAATAAGTAGTGCAGTGGTTAAGATGATACCCCCTATTTGTTATGATTTTGCAGCCAGTGAATGAGCAATATATCAGAATAACGGACAAGATCAAAAGTGCCAAGGGGTCAGGGTGTAGTGAACCTGAAAAAAGGGTTGTCAATAAGCCTACAAGATCGACAGTCGGTCTCGTGAACTAGCTGATAACTTTCCAGGGGAGTGTTTCACAAAGATCCTAAGTAGAACTTAACACTAAGTTGGACTTAAAAAGTATGGACAGCCATTGGAGCCTTAGAATGAAATATATTCAAAAGCAAAAAATTGGAGTATTTTAGACTTTTCATCAATTCCACATCAAGAACATGAAATCTCCCATGATAATAGAAAATATGAATGATTTGAATCAACATTTTATGCCTTCTAAAAAAAAAATTACAACATATTTTCAAGGATGCTAATGGCTTCCCATAAATTTTAAGTCCAACTTAGAGATAAGTTCAACTTAGGATCTTTGTGAAACACCCCCCTGAAGACATATCAGACCAATATTTTTGGTTTCGTTGGTTTTCGGTCTCGTGTGTTATCGGTGGGAGAGTTTTACCTGAGACGCCGAAACTGGAGTAGATGGCGAAAGCGACCCCCATACCGGCGGTGAAAGCGATGTTGAATACTGATCCCGTTCCTGAAGTGAGATCCTGAGCGATGGCCGCACGCAAGAAGACCTCATCAAAACAAAACAAAAACAATAAATCATGATACTATTCAAATTTTGAAAAAGTGCACACAAAAAGTATAGCAAATACTGACTAAAGACTGCAACACACTTTTAGGCTCTGGAGGGCCCAAGAGTGCAGCGTTTAGACGGATACAAATGCAAAAATCTTCTCACTCGGTAGCTACGCTCCCTTCCATAATTGCTTTCAAAATGTTAACGAGAAAAGTGAAGAGTGAAAAAAAGTATATTGCTTGTTTTGCTAAGGAATGCAATTTTGTTAATACAACCAAAACTTCAAACACCTGTGAGGGGGTAGTCACTTCCGTCACCTTCAGCCCTCTCGTTCACTATGCTCCCTCGCACTTGCGTATTGATGGGGGGGGGGGGGCAGCTTGGGGGAAGCTCCCACTCTAAAAATCAAAATCAATGTGGTTTATTTCTAATTCGATACCAGTGATTTACAAATGTTGCTGAAATGGCGTTTTTTTTCCCCTAAGCTTCCGGGGGCTCTGCCCCCTGGATCCCACCAAGGGCCGTGAAAGGCCCCTGGTTACTCATCTGACCGTAATTAAGTGTCTAAAATGCCTGAGCTTCGGGGGCCCCGCCCCTGGACCCCACCAAGGGCCCTAAGGCGGCCCCTGGATGCTCATATAATTGTAATTTATTGCCTAAAACCCCTGAGCTTCTGGGGGCTCCGCTCCCTGGACCCCACTCCAATTAATGTCAGTGCATGTTACAAGTAATGTATCAATATATGCTCACTAAAGCCCTGAACTTTCGAGGACTCCGCCCCATGGATGCTCATCTGACCTTCATTTAATGCCTAAAACCCCTAAGCTTCCGGGGCCTCCTCCCCCTGGATGCTCATCTGAGCTTAATTAAATGCCTAAAACCCCTGAGTTTCACGGGGCTCCGCCCCTGGACCCCACGCCAATTTACGCTCCACTTGTTTCGCTCGCTTTGCTCTACCTGATCGTAAATACTTAAGCCCCTCCATACCCACTTTGAAAACAGTTGCCAGGGCCTGCGTAACATGTAAGAGTGGTGGTGATGCGGACTTTTTTCTGCCCCCCCCCCCCCCCAAAAAAAAAAAAAAAAAAAAAATTTTTTTTTTTTTACAGTGCATGTATTCCTGATAATTTTGTCTCTCTCTGTATTTCTCTATCTCTCTCTCTCTCTCTCTCTCTCTCTCTCTATCTCTCTCTCTCTCTCTCTCTCTCTCCCTCTCTCTCTCTCTCGAAAACACTCTACTAAAAGAACACGCTTTATCTTTGTCTCCTCTAAAACAAATATTTAAAACAAAAGATTCGTTTAGATAATAAAACAATCATTATTAACAGCATAGCTAATATAATATGATGGCCTATTATCATTAACAAAACAATGAAGTAAAAACAAAAAACATAATATGAGTAATTAGATTTTGTCCAGATGTGTATCAATCAGACAAAGATTATTTACGTCTGGGGACCGACCTTTGGCATCACCATCCGAAAGACGTGACTCAATTTCGAACCGGAGTGTAGGTGACGACAGAGAGAGCTGACCAAGTGAACTTACCGCTAGACCAACTCACATCTCACTTCATGATTATAGATGATTTTATAGTTATAGATATCAAAGCAGTGTCTTGCGGTATAATGGTTCTACATATCGTGCTTGAATTTGATACGTTTTCCCCATATCAAACACTTTCTTAACATAAAATGACGTTACGACTTCTGTACGTGACCAATAACTATTTGTATTTACACTATTGTATTGATTACTTAATTATATCCAGAATTACAGACATAACCACGTTATACGTGGTCTGAGTATTTTCTTAACGAAGACATTTCTTCAAAATACCCCTTAATAAATCAGAAGGCATGTGAATTTATCACACACATTGACAACGACTTCTTGATGACGTTCTAGGCGTCTATATTCGTTTGTTTGTTTTGAGATAATTATATCTTATGTGCACGTATGCCATGTTAAACATCGTAACATTTATTTTGTTGTTCATTATTGATTTGATGATATCGTTCCCGTTGAAGTAATCATAAATGTGCTTAGAAACCCTTTATATCTACACAATGCCGCACACTGCAGTGTTGACATAAAGTCTACCAAGCCGTGTTAGATTGAAGTTGATGGCATACTAAACTCTTAAAATACTCTAACCCTTCATAAACGACATTCCATAAATCGTTTTTCACACCATATAGGTAAAATCATAGATGTAATGCACTAGACACTTTGTGCAATAGAAAAGACCTCATTTCGACATAAACTCGGTAAAAACAAGTTGGAAAACTCAATATCGATAGGTGATCTCTCTCAGGCTGTATTAATTTTTTTTTAAATTCGCTATAACGTGTAAGAAGACAATTCGGGGTTAAGCAAAACTTAGTTAAATTTTGGGTACACGCGGACTCCCCCCCCCTTTAATTTGGGGGTTTAACAAATATCAACATATATAACCTGGGGGGGGGTCGGACACTCATGTTTAATCGATGATATATCTCAAGTTACTTCGTTATCTTATCACGTATAAATTTGTTTATTCATTGGTTATGATTTTGTGATTTGGCGGTGCACTATATACGGCTTTATCTTTAGGAGGGGGGGGGGGGTCAGAAGTGAAACCCGACAAATCGTTGCATTGTCTGCTAAAATTAGGAGTTCGCAAGCTGTTTTCTTTTCTTATAAGTGTCCTTTTCACTTTTTATAAGTGCCCTCTTTTCCTTTCATCATAAAAGGGTCCCTAATTTAAAAACTATTAAGTAAGATAAACTTTTCCTTAGTCCCCCGAAGCTCGCTCTTCTTTATAGATTATATAATTATGCTTCTTATTCAAAGTTGTTTCAGTCTGTTCTTATTATGTTGTGCTTAAAACCCCATCAGGATTGTTTTTCATCTTTATAAGATGTAGATTTTTGCACTGCGACCTCACATATCGTTACAATTTGCTCGTTCACAAATGAATATTCAGCCCATTACATTTTACTGCAAAGTATGATTCTTGAGCAGTGTTTTGGATCATATGAAGATAGAAACAAATATTAAATTCATCCCTGATAATGTTATTACAATATAGGGGTATATACCAATGTCTAAAAGTTATGTAATTTTGCTTGAGGTGTCCCTTTGTAAATGCCCCTTTTTCAGAAAGTGCCCTTTCTTGTGCCCCCTACTTTAGAAGACGCTCTACCGCCCCTGTCTGAAATGAAATCCGAGAAGCCGTGTTATGTTTCAAAATGTTGAAGCATCGCTACCTCCTGCCTGTAATTTATAGTCTTCTCTTCAACCTCATTAACATTATGTGTTTATAAGAAATTCAATTTACGAACATAAAGTTCAACAGGGGCAAACGTCTCTCACTGGAGGACGTATTCTTCTTCTTCTTCTTCTTCTTCTTCTTCTTCTTCTTCTTCTTCTTCTTCTCCTCCTTCTTCTTCTTCTCCTTCTTCTTCTTCTTCTCCTTCTTCTTCTCCTTCTTCTTCTTCCTCTTCTTCTTATGCATGAAGTTAAATCTGCCGGCGGAGTTGTTTTTTTCTTGTTGTTGAAAATCTCTAACCATCCAAATCCCCCCCCCCCTTGCTCCGCTCTGTTTGGTTATATGTTTGAAAAAACCTTAGAAGTACGTTATAACGACCCAGTAGCCATACTTGCTACACCGGGGTCGAGATAGGTAACTGGTGATAAAATGCCCTGAGTAGACTCTGGGTTGCTGGCTTGGATATCTCAAAAGAAAGGCTTATAATTGTGACGAACCACTTCTTTGTTAATTGAACAGGGATTCGTATTAACATTGCTTCTTTGGAGAAAAAATACAGATCAAAATAGATCACTAATTTTGTATTGTACAAATAATGAGGAAAAAATAATTCTCCTTGCAGGCCTATTATTTGTTTTGAACTCCCCCAAAGCCGACCCTCTAAAACAAATATATACTAGAACAGCTCCTGCACTCTTGCTCTCTTTGAGCACCCCTACTTGTTCCACGTCGCCCTGGTCGTCAAGATGCAAGGCCGGTGGATACTTACCGATAGCATGAACGTCGAGTAGAACTCGGCCATGAGACATCGTCCGAGGTCACTCCGAATTGTTATCACACTCAGTATTTTCTTCATCCAAGTTTTCATTTTATCCATCCCCATGTTTAATTACAAGAATATGCCCTCCGTCCGAAAATGCCTGGCAACAAACGATAAATCACTTGTAGACTATCTCGGAGATACTCGAGGTTTGAGACATGACGGAGTTATACATTAATGATTTATCTCAGAATACTCAACCTTTAAACTACCATCATGCGCGCTTATCATGCGAAAGTTCATAATGTCATGAATGTGCTTCTATAACGTGATTGGTAGATATCATGTACTCGAGCAAATATGGAAAAATCCGCTTTAAATATGTTGACGAAGCAAAATTAATTATCAAGTTTGAGACATGGTGTTATAATGATTTATCTCTGAATATTCAACCTTTAAACTGCCACCATGCCCGATTATCATGCGAAAGTTGGTAATGTCATGAATGTGCCACTTTGTGATTGGTAGAGATCATGTGCTCGAGCAAATATGGACATATTCGCTTCAAATATGGTGACGAAGCAAAATTTAAATTATTAATTTCGTAAAGTCATAAGTGTGCTTCTATGTGATTCGTTAAAAGCTAGTGACGATGCAAATGTAAATCAGTTCGAATATGTTCGTTTTCTTTCTCAAAGCTCCCATTTATTCCACATATTGGATCAGCGCTATGTCGATTCCCGTGATAGCGGACACCCACCCCCATGCTTCCAGGGGTCATAACCTGCATTGAGGGGGGGGGGGGGGCAATGCAGGTTATGACCCCTAGTAGCATGAGTGTCGATCCCGGGGGGATGGGGGGATATATCCCCCCCCCCCCCAATATTTTAGGTGGGGGATGGCCTGTACAGTCACCCCCCCCCCCAATAATTCACCATCAAAAAAAAAAAAAAAAAGAGAAAAATTAATGATGAGAGCCCGATGAGAGTAGTTAATGGTTATTACTCGCAAGATGACCATCAATATACACATTTTGCTATCTCATTTTCATAATACATATATATATATATATATATATATATATAGAAAACGAAGTAAATGAGACGACCGTATATGATACAAGAATAAATTGAATTCTCGCTCATACGGCTTCATCAGGAATTGATGAATTTATTCAATTTATTCAATCAACAGCATCATAGAAAAGCAGTGCGCCAAATGCAAAGCCGCAGCGCTAAAAAGCAACGAGGTTAGTAAATGTTAAGCGCGAAGCGCAAAAGTGCAAAAAAGAAGAGAGAGATAATTAGAGACAAAGAGGATACAGGCGTGTAGCCAGGGGGTGGTAGGGGCGGTCACCCCCCTCCCCCCCCAAAAAAAAAAAAACGCCGACCAAAAAAGAAAAGAAAAGAGAGAGTAAGAAGAAAGGAAGAGGACGTCAAACGTCAAAGCTTCCGCGCTTCGCGCGGGAAGGGGAAACTCCCCTCCCTGCACCCACCCCTAGGAGGTGCTCACTACCGCCCCCCCCTAAATTAAAATCCTGCCTATATGCTTGAGAGGATAATAACCCAGGTAGCAAGCCCATGTGGGACCCACATGGGTCCCATATTCTCTAAAATGTTATCTTTATTGAGGGTGACTTGAACAAGTTAATAACTTGGAAGGGAGGGGATGCAACCTGCTACACACCTCTACCTCTTGGTTGCTTTGATCCATTGCCGAAAATATTTTGGCACCTATCATTCCCCCCCCCCCCCCCAACCGAGGATACCAATCGACACCCTCGCCTGGTAGAGATGTACTCGGGCAAAATTAATAAGGAGAAATTCGCTTAAAATAGATAAGGCAAATAAAAATCTCTTGCAATATTTAACAGACAGCCACTCTGCTGAGAATTAAAACATCATGGCAATCAGGCACAGATCCAGGGGTCCGAGTCTCTTTTCTCTATTTCTCTGGAGGGGGGGGGGGGTGTTTAGTATTAAAAAAACGCTCACTATGCCACCCCCCCCCCCCTCCCTACTGAGCGAAATATCGGCCGGCACGATTTTCCAATTTTCGGGGTCAAAATAGAAAGAATAATAGCTCACACCCCCCCCCCTACCCCCACTGAGCGAAATATCGGTAGGCACGATTTCAAATTTCAGCACACTCAATTTCAAATGTGAGCCTCCCCCCTAAGAAATCCTTGATCCGCGCCTGATGGCAATCATAACCTACCAATTGATTTGTATTTGCGTTATAAAGGGCATATTGAAATTATTGTGTGTCCATCATAATTGTCGATTTTTAAAAAAAAACTCAAATTGTCACGATGACTTCCTCCTAAACATGGCGTATAATATACATTGACTGACACCCCCAGTACATGATATAGAGGGGGAGGAGGTGGGCCAAATAAAAGCATCCAATAGCACCCACATGTAGATATGCTCAATTCATTTGATGAAAGCAAGTGACCAATCAGATCCGACAAAAATAGGTTAAAGTTCTAGTCTTAACTTTTAGCTGATAATTTCCTACCAAGCAAAAAAACACAACAACTATAGGTTTGTTTTCTTTAAAACACTGTAGATTTTCCTACACAAAATGAGTAAAAGTGGATGTCAGCCTTATACCCCCCCCCCCTCCCCAATAGCGACGCCCCTGGATATTGCATGCCCTTGACATGTTTGTAACGTCACTTTCGTCCCCGCCGCGAGAAAAAAAATGACGAAGTGGGATCAAACAATTTTTTTAAAAACCCAGTAGGACGAATGGCAGTTGCAGAACAAAATCCGAATCACCACCAGGTGGCATAATGGGCAATTGTTTGTTTTTTTATAAGGAGGGGGGTTGCGGATATTGACGAAAACGGTAAAGATGTGGGCCTACAAATTACGTTTTCGATATGGCTTACTGCTTTTGTTATGTTGATTATTCATGAGGATAGAGTAATTTGCATCTATCTACCCAAATTACTTGAATGCTTTCATTAATGTTCTCCACACTTTGAGCAATGAGATGATAAGTTAATATCCCACCCATCATTATCTCATTGATCAAAGTGTAAAAACATTAGAAACTATATAGATGAAACTTCGACTGCGCACAGTCAAAAATTATGCCTCCGCCATAGAGCGATTTCACAAACCAAAACAGAAGCAATTTTTCAAATTCAAGTTTAATCGTAATCCATTAACAGGTTCCCAGAATACCATGATTACAAGCTATTTTTAATATACATGTATGACATATACTATGTCCCTTTTATCTTTGACCTCATGACCCTAACATCTAATCAGTTCATTGGCTTTGGAAGATACATACAAAGTCATGTCTTGAGTTTGATGGTAATTCGTCCATCTGTTCTAATGATATGATCACTAGCTATTTATGCATATACATAATGAGCCCTGCGACCTTTGACCTCGTGACCCCCAAAATCTGATCAATTCATTGGCTCTGCAAGATACTTACATGATCTAAGTTTGAGAGGAATCCATCAATTATTGGTTCTTGAGATAACGCGATCACAAGCTTTTTTGCATATATGATGAGCACTGTGACCTTTGATCTTTGACCTCGTGACCCCAAAATCTAATCATTTCATCGGCTCTGCAAGATACATACATGACTTAAGTTTGGCAGGAATCCATCAATCGTTTTTTGAGATAACGCGATCACGTGAACGGGACATCCATACGTACGTACAGTGTACGTACGGACGGACGGACAACCCGAAAACATAATAAAAGCACTATACAAAATAGGAAACCATAATTCCATCCAATCTTGACATATCTCGGTCGGCTCAAAGTCTCCCGATTAACCCCAAAGAGCCGACCGATATCAAACACAAAACGTTTTCCGTGCAATGTTTAACAGAGATGCTTCAAGGAAATACTAAAAATATCTAAATGAAAATATCGATATTATCGTCCATGAAACAGGGGCGGCAGAGCGTCTTTCAAAGTGGGGGTACCAACGAAAAGGGCACTTTCTGGTAAAAAGGGCACCTACAACGGGAAACCTCAAAGCCAAAATATATAGTTTGCATACATTGGTAGGCCCTTATTATACCCCTACATTCTGATAAGATTATAAGGGATGATTTCATTGTTCGTTTCTCTCTTTACATATATGTGGTCGGTCCGAGATACTGCATTTTTCAGTTGGATGTGATAGTTTTATTGGTTTGTATATTTATTTGAGAGAGGGCAAGGCGAGCGAACACAAAATTAAGATTTATGAAGTTGCAGTGCGAAAAATTACATCCTATAAAGAGAAAAAAAATCCTAATCATGAAAGTCTGAAAAGATCTTTGATAAGACACACAATTATATTAACATAAAATGCGAGCGAGCTTTGGGTGAAATTGAAGTAAAATTGCTCTTAATTATAGTCGCTTAAAATTAGGAACACATGAAAGGAAAAGGGGGCACAATTATCCAATGTTAGAAAGGACACGTATTAGAAAAGAAAAGGAGCACATGGCAAAGTAAACATCGGAATTATCAGAGGTGATAAAAAAGGCACTTATGAGAACGGGAAAGGGGCACTTATTACAAAGAAAAAAGGGCAATTATCAGAAGGAAAATGGCACTAATTAAAATAGATAGGGGCACGTGTCAAATTAAAAGGGACATTTATTACAAGTCAAAGAGGGCACCTCTCAAATTTTAATAAGAGAACTCACCGGACATGAAAAGACCCAATAAACAAAATCACGTGAAAATCACGTCACTATCAAGGTATCGACTTGAGGAGAGTTACGTTCTTCAAACACCTGACATTTACGTAAATGTGTTAATACGTTTATTGCACTAGGTAACTTAAAATACACGTACACTAAATCACGCAATTGTCACTGCAATATCACCATTATAATAACGTGATTATCCCTACCTTGAAGACCATGGTTTGTAAACCTAATACTCCCGTTTTTGTTTGGTTATGAAATTACATCTTCATTAACGAAATTATCACATTCTTTAGAAGTTTTGTCCGGTAAAGGGGTACTTTTCGTGCGACAAAGTCCGGCCCGAGAATTGTAAAAGAAGGGGTGTATTTGACTTTTCACCCGGAGATTTCTTTAAAAAGGGGGTGTTTTTCCTTTTTTTCTCTCATCTCTTTGGACTCCTGAGAAGTTATTCCGAATGGGGACCTTCACGGTTTCGGTGATTTAGTTTGCCTGCCCCATTCCTGGCAACTTGTAAATGCTCATGGGAATC